GGGGAGGGAATGCTCTTCCTGGAGCCAGGATCCCTGGTTTCTGCCTGGGGCTCTTGCATCTGGTTTGCTGTTCGAGCTCTCAGCCACATATAATGTGTTAACTGGGCCTGTCTGTGCCGTGCCATGCAGCTGGGTGTGCTCTGGGCACCAGCTGCATGCCCTCGTTGTGATCGGGGGGGGGGGGGGGCACACACCTCAGGTGATGGTTGGTTCTTGCTTCCACAGATGGCTCTTCCCAATCATCGGCCACATGGGGATCTGCACATCCACTGGAGTCATTCGGGACTTCGCGGGGCCGTACTTTGTCTCAGTGAGTAGGTGATGGATGCTCAGTGGGTAAATGATGGATGCAGGTGCTCAAGCAGAAGCTGTGCTTGAGCAGCTCCTCACCTTCACTGGTGTAATTACAGTAACGTGAGGAGTAGAAGCCACCTTCCAAATTCCTCAGCGTAGTAACAATCGTGCTGCTTGGCACCAGGTATGTGCTAATCCTCAAAGCTGCTTTGTAGTCCTGTGGACTTAACCAGTAAGGTTATAGTTCAGTGGATTTTAAAAGTAAGGGAGTTTTAAGTTGGGATAATTAATGCTCTGAATAACTTGGGACATTTAACAAAGCATTAACAGTTGAAATCAAGGAAAAGTTAGGGAACAAAGCATTTCTACTGTAAAGCTAGATGGTGTCACCATGTCTAGAGTATAAATATACTTGTGCCCAGGAGTATGAAAGCAATTGAAACCTAAATCCAGACACACAAATGAGAGGCTGCTGAGGCAATGTGGCAGCTTCCTCACTAAGTGGTGGTGGGCTGGGATATGGGCTTCCAGCAAGAGGCATGCCGTGGATCTTGTGCTGCCTTCTATCCTCTTGAGACGGTTTTCCTCTTTTCTAGGAAGACAACATGGCATTTGGGAAGCCAGTGAAGTAAGTGCTCCTGTTGGTTCTTATCAAACTAACCAACTAACCTGCAGAAGTTAATGGGCTTTGGGGGGAGGTGAAGAGGTGCCTGGGTTTTGTGTGCCTGTCAGACCAGGTTTACACTTTGAATAGCCAGAAGGTTTCCTATGCTGGGATGCGAAAGCAGTCCAGAGCTTTGTCTGCGCCCCAGAGATCTGAATGTTTTCTCGGCTACAAAGATGCTCCAAGGGCTTGGAGATAGACAGAGAGCTGGGCTGGGGCAGCCTGGAGAAGAGAAGGCTCCTGAAGGGGAGACCTTAGAGCAGCTCCAGTGCCTAAAGGGGCTGCAGGAAACCTGGAGAGGGGCTTGGGACAAGGGCCTGTAGGAACAGGCCAAGGGGAATGGCTTTAACCTGCCCGAGGGGAGACTGAGATGAGCTCTTAGCAGAAGCTCTTCCCTGTGAGGGTGCTGAGGCGCTGGCACAGGGTGCCCAGAGAAGCTGTGGCTGCCCCATCCCTGGCAGTGCTCAAGGCCAGGTTGGACACAGGGGCTTGGAGCAAGCTGCTCCAGTGGAAGGGGTCCCTGTGTGTGGCAGGGGTTGGGGCTGCAGGAGCTTTAAGGTCCCTTCAATACAGACCAGGCTGGGATTTGATGACTCTTGAGGCTGTGGATTTCTCTTCTCTGGGAAGAGCAGGAAGTTGTGAAGGTGCAGCAGTGATGTGAAGGGATCTGTTCTCATACTTCCAGGTACTGGAAACTGGATCCCAGCAAAGTATACTCCACCGGTTCCAATGCCTGGGACACGGCTGTCCACGATGCCTCAGAGGAGTACAAGCACCGAATGGTACAGCTCTAAGTGATGATGTCCTGGCTGTGTGTGGAGGGAAGTCTCAAGAACGGGGTTTCTAATGCTGTGCCCCTTTCTGTGTTCCAGCACAACCTCTGTTGTGATAACTGCCATTCTCACGTAGCTCTGGCTTTAAACCTGATGAGATACGATAACAGCACCTCCTGGAACATGGTGAAACTCTGCTTCTTCTCCCTGCTCTATGGGAAGTATGTGAGGTGAGTGGAGGAGCAGCCTGATTCAGCAGTCACAGGAATTGTTTCTTTCCTTCTTCCAGGCCCTGTAAAGCATCAGCCTGTCCTGGGGAGAAGGGAGAACCACCTCTCCCCACAACATGTGGAGGTGATGCTGTCACTGCCAGTTCTTAGGAGAAGAACCAGGAGTGCACCAGATGCTGCTCCCAAAATACTGTATCTTGCCGCTCATTTATGGCACTTGGAATTTGGGAAATGCTCACTAAAGCAGATCCTCCCCTTGTGTTGTCCCTTGGCTGGGGTAGGTCAGAACATAAGGTCACAGCATAGTTTCTCTCCAAGGGTTACTGGTTTCTCTTCCCTGTTGTCTTGGTTAAATACAGCAGCAGTCACAGGGCTTCATGTTTGGTGCTCTTCTGTCCCCGCTCCTGTCCACAGGTTTGAAAGGTGCTGGTCTCTACCCTGAATTGAAGCTGGAAGCTCCCTTTTGTCTTTCTCTGCTCATTTCCCATGTTTAAACACTTCTCCTCTGTCCTGTTTTGCAGCATAGGGGGATTTGTGAAGACCTGGCTGCCCTTTGTCCTCTTCTTGGGGGTGATTGTGACCGTGGTTCTCACTCTTCATTTGCGGTGATGGCAGCTCTGAACTCCCCATTCCATGGGCACCCAAAGGAAGAGACTGACCGATGCAGAGAGGTGGAGGCCTGGCACTCTGGGAGGAGTTTTCCAGGGAAGGTGGCAGCTCCACTCTGTTGTAAACAGCTCCTCTTGAAGCTTCTTTTCCTCCTGTTTTTGTTCTGTTGGTGGCATCTCCCAGCGGCAGGGCTTCCGCAGCCGCCTGCTCTCTCTCTTGCTGCAGTCTGGTAGGTGGGGACGCAGCCAGGAGAGGGGAGGGACGTGTGGGCACCTTCCTTTCATCACCACATACAGCCACAAGGCAAACCCTGCCTCCTGGTTCAGGAGCACAAGATGCCCCTTGTAAGGTTCTCTCTGGTTGCTTCCTCTGAGCAGAGGTCATCAGATGCTTCCTCAGTCTGCACCAAGGAGCTGTTGTCTCCCTGTTGCACATTTCCAGGTGGAGGTGTGGGGTTCCTCCTGGGGACGTCTGGTGCTGCAGCACCCCACTGGTGACAGGAAGGTGGTGATGCTCCTCTGAGGAGCACTCTGTGGCAGGGCCAGTTCATCTCGTCCTGCTGGGGAGCTCAGGAAGGCAGCAAAGTCCATCCACCAGCTTGGTACGGTGCAGGGCAGGCTGCAGGCTTCCAATGGCCTCTTGCAGAGCTGGGAGCCTCCTGCTGAGTCCCTTTTAGCTTGTGTCAGAGAACACAGAGCATCCCTGCTTCTCCCTGTGCTCAGGGCAGCTCAGGTTGTCATTACACTGCTCACCAGCCACTTTCCTTCCCTTTGCTCCCCTGCCCTTTGTGTGTTGCAGCATTACTGAACCTGCAGAGGCGGCTGGAGCAGCAGGTACATGTCTCTGGGAGGCTCAGGGTAGGGGTTTGAAAGCATCCTGAGACCTGGGGCCATCAGAGCTTAACGGAAGAGGTGAAGGGATTGGAAGATACCCATGTTCTGGTTGGGTTTTGCAGCATTAAACTGGGGCCCTGGGCTCCTTGTGACTGGTTCCAGGGTGGTGCACAAGCTGTGAAGTGCTTTGCAGGACTGGCTTTGATGTGAGAGATGCTGCTCTGGCAGCATCAAGGGGCTGATGGCCCTTCGAAGCCCTGGATGGGACAGGACAGGTAGTAGGGGTATAGCTCCAGGTCTCCTATGGAGAGGTTCTGGCCTCAGATGCTGCTTTTTGGGGGCTCTGAGCCAGGCAGCCTGTTACAGACATGTGGCTTAAGGGTGATGTGCAGTTGAGCAGGGTCCCCAGAATGCAGAGGGAAGAAAACAGCTTTCCCAACTCCTCCAGCCCTGTGGGAGGGATGGGAACCCCTCTTTGACTGCTCCATCCCTGCATTTCCTCCTTTTCCTCAGTCACCTTCACATACCCCCTTCTCCTCAGCATCCCGCTGTGTCACCTGGTGCTCCCTGTTGTGGAGTGGGTGAAGATGCACAGACCTCACTGCATGGACCTGGAGCTGAAGCAGAGGTTGGTGCCTGCTCTGTGCAGTCATGCCAAGCCTGTGTGGAGAGCAAGCCTGAGGGCACTGGGCCTAGCGCTGATGAGGAAGCCAAGCTCTTGATCAAAGAGAACCTTGTGATGAAAGGGTGGTGTCTGGAGGTGTCTCCCAGCTCCCCGGCCTCGCTCTGGTAAAGCACCCCAGGACGAGCCAGTTGAACAGGAGGGGTTGGTCCTTTGCCTCTGCTCTTGATGTGAGTCTGATTCCTCAGTGACCTGCCAAGGATGTGCTCAGAGCCCCTGGCCCCAGGGCTGGAGCCTCTTACACCATAGCAATAACCTCGAGTCTCAGCGTCTCACACGTGGGGTCAGTGTGGTATCAATGCGAGCGTTGCCAAAGCTGAGACCTGGAGCTGAGACCGGGGCTGCAGCCACATTCCCGGCTCCTGGCATTCCCAAAGCTGCATTCAGTGCCATTCCCCACCTCCTCCTTTGCCTCCTCATGCTTGAACCAGAGCTGGGTTCCATTGGAGACTCCTCGAGCAGCAGCAGATGGGCTCGGAGCAGGATGGAGGCTGCTGGGGAGGAGGGCAGCGCTTCACCCATGTCCTGGCTCTGCAGCCATCCTGCTTCCAGCAGCAGAGATGGAAGGAATGGTGTCCAAAGGGAACACCAAAGCCCAGAGCTGGGGTACCACAAAGCACTTGGGCTGGTTGGGTTCTTCCTGTCCCTGTGACTGTGGGGAGTGTGCCGCTTCCTCTGGTGCAGGAGGTGGATGAGGAGCATCTTCTCCGTGCAGCTCCCCTCATCTCACCACTGGCTCCTTGCAGTGCCCCCCTGCACAAGCCACGTTAAAGCTTCCCGCTGTCCCTCCCCTCTGCCCGTGGCTGTTGGGCAGAGCTCTGGCCTTGTGGTTGCCCTCCAGTCATTCCCTCCTCCTCTGTTCTGCTGCCTGCGGGGCGCTGGATCCCTCTGTCAATATTGAAACTGCTTCTGTGCTTTCAGCATCCGGGGTGGGGAATAAACTCGTTTCTGTGATGTCTCCAAGTGCTTCCAAGACTCTTCCTCCTCCCAGCACTCAGCCAGGAGCAGGGTTGATGCTCCCCCTTTCCCATTCCTCTCCTGCCCCAAGGAATGGAGTCTGGGGACAGGAGGGGCCCAAGTGCCACAGTGCAGGGG